TTATGATTATTTGTTCTGTCTTTATATATTAAATTTCTCCATATAAATCATATTTCTTACAACTTAGAGCAGAAATAACTAAATTATAAAAAAAATTCTACGACCTGAGCAACGATATTCTTAAAATTAAACAATTGTCTACTAAATTTCTCCTTGTAAATGATATTTTTTATACCTGAGAGCAGAAATAAATAAATTATAAAATTCTACGTTCAGCCAAGAGATTATATGTCTAATGTTTGCCTGAGCAACGATATTCTTAAAATTAAACAATGCTCTACTAAATTTCTTCATATAAATGATTTATAGCTAAGAGCAGAAAAAATAAATAATAAAAAATCCAATAGCATCTCTCCAAGAAATTAATAACTTATTTAAAATTTGAGCAGAAACAAGTAATTTAGTATTTCTGTGGTAAGATATTCAAGTTTTTTATGTGAAAATATTACATATCATGCAGTTTAAGTCTGGTTTAATATCTATGTTCTTTATGTTCTGAATTTACGTCAAAAGTATAAACACGTTTTTTATTAAGGGATTTAAAAAATTAATTTTGTGTTTATTTTATTACCTTAGGTAGTTCATATGTTTTACATTAAGCATAAAGGTTTGGCTTGATTATTTACCTGCTTCTTTTCTGGGTGATCTACTGTCAGGATTAACATGATGTGATGTCACGACTAACAGGATGTGATGTCACGATTAATAGGATGTGACGTCATGACTAACAGGATGTATTTTCAAAATAAGCGTAACGTTGAAATATAAAAATCATTTTAATATATCGAAATAGAAAATGGAAGCTTATGTTGACAAATAATTAATGGGGAATTTGAGCTTCAAGAAGAAGCAGTTTCCGAACGTTGATAAATATATTTTCAAATATTCTTTGAATGAGAAGTTCTTCTCAGTCGTATTTAAATATTAGATATTTGTAAGTAGAGAAAAACGTTTTACAGATTTTTTGTTTCACTATTACAAATTATTATTTACTTTATAATTTCTTAAAAGTTAAAATTACCATGAAAGTAATGCGTGTCTAAAGAATGTGCACTTTAAAATGTCAAACATTATATTATTATTATTTGACAAAAGTAGTAGTAATGTGTTGCTTTATCCGAAGTAAAAAGTTATTATAAAGGCGTATATCCACATTTCGTAAACTTGGAAAATTCAGAACTAGCGTTATTATTGGTTTTATAGGTCATTTCATAAATATTTACTGAGATTCTTGGTTCACGACCACGCAGAACACGGTAACTTGTAGAATACGCTGGCTTAGATCACTTACATGTCCCACACACTCAATCTGTATTTGAACTTGTAAGTCTACTGATGCAGAATGACATATTTTTTTCGCTTCTTACGCAACATAGATTTCCTATACGGTGTATTCCCTCGAAATCTCCAATTTACAATTTTACACGTTTTCGAAAGCACGCTACCAAAAGCATTCACAATAACGAACCAATTAAATACTCGTACTAAAGAAGTTACGGCTAAAACTGATTCTGTATAGTTGTTGCAGCGGGTTTTGTATAACGTAGAGCCTTTTATATTTTATACTAATATGGTGCTGGATACATCTTTATAGTGGTACAGTGGCACAGCGGTACGTCTACGAACTTACAACGCTAGAAACCGCGTTTCGATATCCGTGGTGGGCAGAGCACAGATAGCCCATTATGTAGCTCTGTGCTTAAGTAGAAACAAACAACTTATCTGAAGCCCACAGTGGCACAGCGGAATGTCTGCGGACTTACAACGCTAGAAACCGCGTTTCGATACCCGTGGTGGGCAGAGCACAGATAGCCCATTGTGTAGCTTTGTGCTTAACTTCAAACAACAACAACAACAAACAACAATCTTATGATAATATTTAACACAGATAACTAGTTGATCTGTCACAAGATTCCTCTAGTGGCTCAGCCGTATGCATGAAGGCTTACAACAGCTAAATCTCTGGGTTCAATCCGTGCGGTGAGCACAGCCCATTGTGGAGCTTTGTGTTAAAAACAAACGAATGTATCACTAGCCATTTATTCCATAAATTTTAATTCGCGATAGAGATGTAACCTTATTTAGTACTCCAACTATCTTATTATTTGCTATTTTGTATATATTTAATTGTTTGCAAACTGCATCATAGTTCATTTTATATGAATATATCCATATCATTTCTACAGAGACTGAAAACAACTAATGTTCCTCGTGCTTGAGTAATCTCTGTAAGTTATGAGAACATCGAGATTAGAATCGTAGATAAAAGTTTCGTTGGTAAAATAAGTTATTTTGAATCTGTGAAGGAATATCCGTACCTAAATATCATAAATACTGGAACAGGAAAGCCACTTAGAAAGGTAAGTAAAGTTGGATTTATTATCACTTCCTTGTATGTATCTTGATTATAGCTTTTCTGTTTGGCTCCTTATTATCTGAGCGTAAGGTCAAAAGATCCGGAATTGCTCCTTATTATCTGAGCGTAAGGTCAAAAGATCCGGAATTGTTCCTTATTATCTGAGCGTAAGGTCAAAAGATCCGGAATTGCTCCTTATTATCTGATCGTAAGGTCAAAAGATCCGGAATTGCTCCTTATTATCTGAGCGTAAGGTCAAAAGATCCGGAATTGCTCCTTATTATCTGAGCATAAGGTCAAAAGATCCGGAATTGCTTTCATTATCTGAGCGTAAGGTCAAAAGATCCGGAATGTACGGAATGAAATCTGTCAATGTGAAATTTATTCCGGCTTTCTTATTAATTACATAGATTAGGTTTTCTCTTTTCTTAACCATCCAACAAGAATATTTTCTAAGAAGTGTTAGTCCAGCTTTTGTTCTTAATCAAAGTCTATTATAAGTCTTTCTAGAACGTAGGGCCCGGCACAGGTCGCGGGTTCGATTCCCCGTCACACCAAACATGCTCGTCATTTTAGCCGTGAGGGCGTTATAATGTCACGGTCAATCCCACTATTCGTTGGTAAAAGAGTAGCCCAAGAGTTGGCGGTGGGTGGTGATGACTAGCTGCCTTCCCTCTAGTCTTACGCTGCTAAATTAGGGCAGATAGCCCTCGTTTAGCTTTGTGCGACATTCAAACAAACAAACCTAGAACGTAGAAAACTGGAACTCTTCTGTCATGTCCATCTGGCTGTACGCCAAACGTCAAAATTCACTTTCTCAAATCTGAATATACATAAAACAGATCATAATCTTGTGCCTATTTCTTAATGAATTTTTTTAGCACGTCGCTATTATCGAGAAAATTGAATTTCAGTTTTCAATTGGTCTGAAGGGGAGACTTTTCGTGTATAACGCGCTCATAAAAGCTTTGGAGCTGATCAAATTACAGTGGGCGAACGAGTGCACAAAGAAAGCGTGAATTTTTAGCGAAAAATCTATACTGTCATGATATAATATAGGGGAGTTTCGTTGCATAATAGACGTTTCATTTCAAAGTAACTAGTTGACGTTTTTTACAGCAATGTCATTCAGTTGGAAGAGAGGCCAGAAAGTGAAAAGGTTTGAAAAGGTAACACCGATCCATACTGAAAATACGATCTTTTTGTTTTTAGCTATCTATTTAATGGATATTTGAAATTGAAAACAAACAGGGAAAACAGTTTAGTTTGAAGCCTAACATCAGACTTTTAGTTAGCTTTGAGCTTCTAACGCTGTTTAGTCATTTTCATTTTTAAATTACCTAACAAACAACAGCACGAAGGATGCCATATTTCCGGATCTTAGTTTTAACATAATTTAAATACAGATTAGTCAATGTTCAGCATAGATTCAATACAGGTTAGTCAGTGTTTAAAATAACTTTGGTACTAGTCAATGTTTAACACAGTTTCAGTAAAGGTTAGTCAGTGTTTAACATAGTTCCAGTACAGATTAGTCAGTGTTTAAAAATTTCATTAGAGATTAGTCAGTGTTCTACACAATTTTATTACAGATTAGTCAATGTTTACCATAGTTTCAGTAGGGATATAAGTGTTTAACATAGTTTCATTAGAGATTAGTCAGTGTTTTACACAATTTTATTACAAACACTGACTAATCTACACAATTTTATTACAGATTAGTCAGTGTTTACCATAATTTCAGTAGGGATATAAGTGTTTACCACAATTTAATTAGAGATAAATCAGTGTTTAGCTTTTATTTCAGTAAAGATCAGTTAGTGTTTAACATTTTTCAATACAGATTAGTCAGTGTTTAACACAATTTCAGTACAGATTATACAGTGTTTAACACAATTTAAGTATAGGTTAAACAGTGTTTAACATAATTCCAGTACAGGTTAAACAATTTTTAACACAATTTAAGTACAGGTTAAACAATGTTTAACACAACTGTTTTAAGCCTAAAATATTTTTTTTTCATAAACGCCAGTTTTTCACCGATTCACAGCATAAAAAGGCTAAGATGTTTCATCTTATGCATCGTAAATAACATCAAAAAATGATGGCGACTAAAAAGAACTTCTGAAAATATAAAAAAGTATTGCCGGTAGATAGAAAGATGACCTCACAAAGTTCATAGTAGAAAAAATTTTGCTTAATCCTAAAAACATAATAAAAAAATCAACCATGTTATGTACTTCATAATGTCTAAAGAGCAACGATAGAAAATTAGACTTATTAGGCATATGAAAAAAAATACATTTTCGAACAGAAAGATGCTAATACTTATAGTAGTTTTAACTGAATAATCAAAGAAAATATTGATATTTCAAATAGCGATGAAGTTAAAGTTACAATAACGTAAGAAGATAAGATGAAATCCGACATCATTATCGAGATTACATTATAAATACTAGCAGTTCATTAGCAAGCAGAACGACACTTTTTGTATTCAAATCATTGTATTAGAAATAGAATATAAATAACTCTAGCTGTTAATTGGCGCATGCGTACCAGCTATTTATCATCACGGATCGATGTTTGTACCGTAAGAAAGACTTGGGTAATAGTGTTTGAGAGAGAAGTACGAGCACCTCGGAGAGGCGATCAGTCAGTAGCATTTCTATTCGAACAATCGATCCTTTAGCTTCTGAGACGTGCTCTACTACAGCGCCTCCTTACGTTCAATGGAAACTTGTTATAGAAGACACTAGACCAGAATCATGGTCTTCGATGCGATTGAAAACTCCTCTGTATAATGTATGCTACTCCCATATAAGTGAATTAAGAAACAGCTCCTCAAAAGTAAGTCCAAGTTGCATTTAAATTTCAAGCAGTCTCTTAACAGTCATAATGATCTAATTTTACTCTTTAATGTAAACCTTCTTTTTTTCTCCTTTTGAAACATCATAATTACATCTACTCTCCAAGTAACTTAATACAAATAGTAAATTAAAATTGATTAATTCCGAAGAGCAGACTTATTATTTCCAATTTCTAGGGAGTCAGTATCAAAATAGAATACGTAGATCGTTGCTCATAGCTATAACTTATAATAGGGTTTATAATAGAAATGGTGATATGTTAAGATGAAAAATTACATATTTTTACCGGCTATGTTAAAACATTGTTTGGTGAAATACACGTTGTAGATAAACTCAAAACCTAAGAACCGCTTCAGATACTTAGTTTAAAACTTGAGTCTTAATTCTGTAGTTTCTATTTAGTTTCGAATCTTCTTTGAATCAAACTAATTCTTTGCAAAAACTGACCAATTAGGAATTTTTTGTCCATTTGAAACTCCTGTAAATTATTCTTTAAAATGCGTCCCCTGTAGCTCAGCGTTAAACTTGAAGGTTTAGAGCATTAAAATTAGGGATTCGATATCCGCAGTGGGCACACAGCAGATAACCTATTGTGTAGCTTCGCGCTTAAAAACAATAAAAACCGTTTCGTTCAGTCCAAATTAACTCTTTTGACATCCAGGTTGTCAATCTTCTGACTAGTGTATTTATCGTTACGTGAAATCATGAGTTCAAATCACTCCCCCCTATGTAAAAAAATATGAAATTACCTTAAAATTGACTATTTTACCATTGAGAGTAAATCTTTAGAGAACTTAAGTTTCTAATCAACAGATCATTTTCCCGCTGTTCAATAGGAAGTTTTAGTAGTGAACATCTAAATATTAACATTAAAATAATAAATTACCAGTTATATTACCATTTAAAACAAGAAGAACCGTACTAACTTAAAATGATTTTATCTGTTTTACAGTTCGTTTGAGTCATGAATAAAAAGCAAAAGGGTGTAAATAGTCTTTCTGGGCTTTAGTTTAACACTAAAATGTGTTATGTACAACACATTAGAAGACGTTATTGTAGAAAAAAGGCTTAGTATAGTGTTCGGAATATAAATCTGAGAGTTCATGGTTCGCATCCCGTTTTAGCAAGAAAGTGCTTCACAGTTTGAGGCCACAGATGAACTATAAAGGTCATGCTCAAAAAAGCATTATTTTGTCAGCCCAGGAATTGGCGGTGAGTGTTTTTAACTACAGTTTAAAATGAGAGATGATTATGCGCAGATATCCCTTGATAGAGCTTTGCGCAAAGGTTCTGAAATGAACAAATAAAATATGTTCTGTAAACATCACAATACTTTTCAACTTTTTACGGTCTCGGCACGAACCTAATCTAACTTTGTCGTGAACGTAACGAGATGATGTTGTGATTTTGAACATTATCTGTTGAATACGATATGAAACGGTTAAAATAGCTTGTTCAGGTATGCAGATTTCTTAAAGAATAAACCCTTCGCTTTCTCTTGCTACGGGGAAGTAGTGTAGTGGGAGAATGTGGCCTTTATATTTATATATGCTAAATAATTTTCTTATTTTTAGTATATTATAAAGACCCATGAAAAAATATTACTATAAGTTTGGAATCGAAAATGGATTACAAAATTAAGAGGTGCTTATGTTAGAAAAATGAAACATAATTACCGAACGTTTTGCACACTTGAATAAGAAATACACATCTGTAGCGACATAACCTAGCTTAGAAACTTCAGTTTACAGTTCATTTTGTTTGCTGTTTTATTATCGCTTCCTTTGCACAAAGCTATACAATGGGTTATCTGCGCTGTGTCCACCGCGAGGGAATTTAATGTCAGATTTTAGCGTTGTATGTCCGTAAATTAACTGTTGACCTCCCGGAGGATATTCGTTTCGAGCTACTCAGTGTTTAGTCTGTCTAAAAGATTTAACAATAAGAGGTTTATAATGTTTGGTTATATTGGAAGAAACAATATATTATCAAAACGTGTCGTTCATAAAAAAATATTGTAGTTTTAAAAAATCGAAATTATTCTCGTATTTCGAGATAAACACTGCTATTATTATTTATTTTAGGCACATGCTAAATACATTAAATATCTTTGCATTTTTAAACACCAGGGCGGCTGGAAATGTTTTAAAACTGGAATTATTTGTGAACTTCACAAAACAAAGCGAATCATGGTCTTTGGAGACGAAACTGTCCACACCAGGCCTCCGCTCCAATCTTTACGGACAATAACAAAGTTAAAGTTACCCCCAGCCGTGGTTATTACGGATGATTCGGACACTTTTCCAGGAATTAATCCTGCATCTTGTGACACACTGGCAGAGGAAACATATAGTTCCACAAACTCAACATCCTCTAATCCTAACAAGGAGTTTTCCAGCTTCAACTCAAAAATCAATGGGATCTTCCAGTCTGTGTCTCTCAACCGCGCTTCCATAGGGTCCATTACATCTTGGTCTCAGGAAGGGTTTCCAGGACTACCTAATCAACTTCCTAATGAAACCCAGGTTCATATTCATCAGTTGCCGAACAATATTTTAGGTAAGTCCTCGAGTTTTAAGCAATTAGGAAATTCTCTGTGCATCATGTGTAATCCATATGAATCCGAAGATCTAAGTTGCATTCGATTTGTATAAGATATATTATCCTTGGATGTTTTAATACTTACAGATCGCTTCAATTAAATATTTTATCTCATCTAGATTGTTTACAAAAACAAAACGTGGGGCTATTTTGAGACTCATATGTTTCAAAAATATTGAAACTAAAGAAACTAAGGCCATTGCTCATAGCATTGCATATATATAACACTTCTGAAAAGAAAACGTGTCAATCAAATTAGCATATTAGTAGAAATAACAAAATCTAACAGTAGATTTGTTAATATATATAAATCAAGGATATACAAGTTACTTTGTCTGATCTAACCATACCCTTGTTACCTTATCTAAAGCAAGAATACACTAGCTACATTGTCTGATCTAACAATAGATTTGTTACTATATATAAATCAAGGATATACAAGTTACTTTGTCTGATCTAACCATACCCTTGTTACCTTATCTAAAGCAAGAATATACTAGCTACATTGTCTGATCTAACAATAGATTTGTTACTATATATAAATCAAGGATATACAAGTTACTTTGTCTGATATAACCATACCCTTGTTGCTCTGTGCTTAATTCCAAACAAACAAAAAGAGACATAGTCCTCTCCTCGACATAGACAATCAATATGTTTGGATTCTTTTTGAACACGAGAGGATTTTTAAAAGCTCCCTGCTTGTTATACGGAAGGTGCTTTCAATCTTTCATTACGACATTAGCTGTGAATTGTGTGAAACTTCATGTAACACAGTCCTTCCAGTATGTGTTACAGAAACTATTACATGGCTGATTTTTAAATGAATCTATAAAAAGAACTATTGTCTTCGAAAGTGTTTTTATACCTCGTAGAAACGTGTTACATTCAAACCGAGCTTCAGTCAGCATGATGAATACGTTATGAAGGATACATATAACAATCAATAAACAACATTAGATTCAAACCGGTCTTCAGTCAACATGATGAATACGTTATGAAGGATACATATAATAATCAACAAAAACATAACATTCAAACCGGTCTTCAGTCAACATGATGAATACGTTATGAAGGATACATGAATAATCAACAAAAAACAATTATTAGACAGATAGGTTTGTTTGTTTGTTTGCTCTGCCCGCCATGGGTATCGAAACCCAGTTTCTAGCGTTGTAAGTCCTCAGTCAAGTCATACCGCTGTGCCACAGGGGGGGGGGGACTAGACCGATAGGAACAAGAGAATATAAGAGCGCAGATAAGTGTACGCCCCGCCCCCCGTTTTGTAAAAACTCCAGATGGTATGAAAATTATAGATAGCTGGGTTTCCTAGGTTCATGAATATCGATGTGAAGTTAATGTTTTTGTATTGTTTTCATTTCTATACTAAAATGTTTACAAACGATAAACAGGCACGGAATTTTGATTCTTAAGATGCGATTTTTGTATCTTTAGTTATTTTTTATTTGTTTATATTTTATTCATCGTATGATATTATTTAGGGTTTTCAAAACTAGTCGTCATTAAAATGGAAAGAAAAAAAAGTATTGCTTATCTAATTTAATATAATTTCAAAATACGTGTTCAACATTGTATTTGCGCAACTTACGCTAATTTTAATCGCTAGATGGCGTTCTATAATGATCAGTTCATATTTCTATGCACATTTCTATGATCATCGGTGTTTTTTTTTCTTGTTTGTTATATTAGTAATTAAAAACTTTTTCGATCAGTTCATTTATTATGACACATTATAAACCTGCACATTTCTATGATCATCAGTGTTTTTTTTCTTGTTTGTTATATTAGTAATTATAAACTTTATCGATCAATTCATTTATTGTGACACATTATAAACCTGCACATTTCTATGATCATCGGTGTTTTTTTTCTTGTTTATCATATTATTAATTATAAACTTTGTCGATCAGTTCATTTATTATGACACATTATAAACCTGCACATTTCTATGATCATCAGTGTTTTTTTTTCTTGTTTGTTATATAATTAATTATAAACTTTTTCGCCATGGAAAGTTTTGTTATAACCAAACCGGACACACACACACACACATACGTATTTATATCGTCTTGGTAACAAGTTGGAAATGCGCGATATGGAAAACAAAATTATGGTTTGATGACGCTCTGGTTCAGAAGAGGTTTCAGCTTACCTGTGTAACTATAGCGACCTATTTTAGACATTAATGTCCACAAACTCCACTTCTCCGCAATCATAAATTGGGTTTCAGTGAAACTTATTAGTCAAGTTTAGTTGAAACGAGACACTGCGTAGGTTTCTGAAATACTATGATGTTTATTAAAATTTTTTAAAGCTTCATTGGACCACAAACTTGACTTCAAGACATTTTTTTCTGAGATTTTAACAATAATTAGAACTTCGTTTCGTTTTCTTTGTTTTTTCTTGAAAGTATTTTCCCAGAAAAAGATCATTTTTTTTGTCTCAAACTTGATTCGCGTCTTTCTCAAAAGTTTCCGTGAGAGACATGTTATCGACAACGTAGTATTTTTATGTTTGGTGTTTTATAAGTGTCACCTTACTTTTTATTTCCTACTGAAAACTTAAGATTGATAGAACTCACAATTTAGTTCACGTTTTCCTTACAATGATGTAAATAGATTACTGATAGAACTCACATTTAGTTCACGTTTTCCTTACAATGTTGTAAATAGATTACTGATAGAACACACATTTAGTTCACGTTTTCCTTACAATGTTGTAAATAGATTACTGATAGAACACACATTTAGTTCACGTTTTCCTTACAATGTTGTAAATAGATTACTGATAGAACACACATTTAGTTCACGTTTTCCTTACAATGTTGTAAATAGATTACTGATAGAACACACATTTAGTTCATACTTTCCTTACAATGTTCTAAATAGATTACTGATAGAACACACATTTAGTTCATACTTTCCTTACAATGTTGTAAATAGATTACTGATAGAACTCACATTTAGTTCACGTTTTCCTTACAATGTTGTAAATAGATTACTGATAGAACACACACATTTAGTTCATATTTTCCTTACAATGTTGTAAATAGATTACTGATAGAACACACATTTAGTTCATATTTTCCTTACAATGATGTAAATAGATTACTGATAGAACTCACATTTAGTTCATACTTTCTTTACAATGTTGTAAATAGATTACTGATAGAACTCACATTTAGTTCACGTTTTCCTTACAATGTTGTAAATAGATTACTGATAGAACTCACATTTAGTTCACGTTTTCCTTACAATGTTGTAAATAGATTACTGATAGAACTCACATTTAGTTCATATTTTCCTTACAATGTTGTAAATAGATTACTGATAGAACTCACATTTAGTTCATATTTTCCTTACAATGTTGTAAATAGATTACTGATAGAACTCACATTTAGTTCATATTTTCCTTACAATGACGTAAATAGATTACTGATAGAACTCACATTTAGTTCACAATTATTTAAACGGATTGTATGCTTGACGTTACTGCAAGTAATGTTTTCAGTTTTATGGTTTTTCGTATTTATTTATTCAAATCGTTTTTTGTTGATAAAAATGTTCAAATAAATTCCTCTAATTTATTATATTTCTCATAATCTTAACAGATAGTTTTGATATCAGAAAGGGTTAAATAACTGTTACTTGATTACTTACTCATAATCTTAACAGATAGTTTTGATATCAGAAACGGTTAAATAACTGTTACTTGATTACTTACGCATAATCTTAACAGATAGTTTTGATATCAGAAACGGTTAAATAACTGTTACTTGATTACTTACTCATAATCTTAACAGATAGTTCTGATATCAGAAACGGTTAAATAACTGTTACTTGATTACTTACGCATAATCTTAACAGATAGTTTTGATATCAGAAACGGTTAAATAACTGTTACTTGATTACTTACTCATCATCTTAACAGATAGTTTTGATATCAGAAACGGTTAAATAACTGTTACTTGATTACTTACGCATAATCTTAACAGATAGTTTTGATATCAGAAACGGTTAAATAACTGTTACTTGATTACTTATAAAACATTATATGTTGATCAGTGTTTGAAATATCAGTAAGTCGAGTGTTTAACGCCCTTCTTTGAAACATCAGCCAAAACTGAGCTACAATTTTGGAACACGTGTTTGCCACATGTTTATGAAGCTGCTCTATTTCATGCCCGTCACACCAAACATGCTCGCCCTTTCAGCCGTGGGGGCATTATAATGTGACGGTCAATCCCAGTATTCGTTGGTAAAAGAGTAGCCCAAGAGTTGGCGGTGGGTGGTGATGACTAGCTGCCTTCCTTCTAGTCTTACACTGGTAAATTAGGGACGGCTAGCGCAGATGGCCCTCGTGTAGCTTTGCGCAAAATTCAAAACAAGCAAACAAACAATTGACTCAGTATTATTAATGCAATCGGTTAAGAGCAGTTTATGTTTTCAAATTTGATGACGAGGAACCCACTTTTTAGAAAATAAAGTTTAAAGACAGTTTGAACCGGTATTGAAAGAAACTTTATTACAAATGTACAATGTTTCGATAAGCTTACGTCATCATCGGGTTTACATAGACACAGGAATATATATACGCAGTATGGAACAAAGAGGTCACATGACCGGAAATTACTTAACAGCTTAGTAAATATATCTTGATATCTCGGGATGTTAGTTTAGTAGGGCTGTTTTGTTCAATTAAGATGGCTTCCTTTATTGTTTGTTTGCTTATTTGTAATTAAGCGCAAAGTTACACAATGGGCTATCTGTGATCTGCCCACCACGGGTATCGAAACCCGTATTCTAGCGTTGTAAGTCCGCAGACATACCGCTGTGCCACTGGGAGGCGGGCTTCATTTATTTTGGGTTTATTGATGTTTGGTTCTTTGTTTAGAATTACAGTGTTTTGTACAAATAAACTATGGGTTTTTTTATCTG